AATATTGGAACGGAGGGGACATTCTCAGTAGTAATACAGAGGATCACACGATAAAAACGTTATAGAATGAATTGACGTGCAATACAGGGTGTATTCTGCTCTCGATATTCTGTATTATAACCACCTTGCCGGGCCAGTTTTAGGGGTTTTAGTGCTAGTTTAGAAGGCATTCATTTTACTATATCGACCTGAGCAATATGTGACGTCATAGTGGTGGTCAATATTGCAGGTCAAGAATGCAATTAATGACCGGCAATTTTCCCCGGGAAATTAAATATCGTTCAGTGCGTAAGATTTTCTTGCTGTTTCAGTCCTGGACATTAACGATGGTAATAATACTAACAACGGCATTTCTGTGGGTAATATAGTGAAATATTGCCCTTCGAAATGACGTTATTGTACCATTGGCACTCGACTTCGTTTCGTTCCACCCATATTAACTGTTCAGGCATCACTCATTTGTGCCCCCCCCCCCCATTTGTCTCCAACCCTTGAAATAAAACGTTTGGCAAATTGTTACCTTGGGTAAATTTGAATGAACCCTGAGTAAACTTGAATGAACTATTTTTGCAGTCACTTCCTGGTTCGTGATGAACTCATACATTGATTCAGGCGATTGTGTTGATACCTCGTCCTTTAGGTCGTAGGTGTTTATATTGAAATATAAAGAAGTGAGAATAACCACATTTATGATAAAATTCGCACCGCTCACTTTTCAAAACTGGCTCCAACTTGCAGAGCTGTCAAGTGTCCCGCGAATGGCGGGATTATCCCGCGAATGGCGGGATTATCCCGCGAATTTGATCAAAATTTGGCTAATTCGCGTGTCCCGCAATGTCCCGCGAAGTCCCGCAAATGTCGGCTTTGACCTCCGCGAATTTTCAAAATTGTAACAATCCCCGATCTAGGCTAAATAATTGTGATCATCTTGTGATATAAGAAGCTAAGTTTTTTGCGCTTTTGAGGAGTAAAGTTTACCTAATTTGAAAAGTGCTGCCAAACTCCCAGTGCATCAGATCATCGAAGACTGCTTTTGGAAAGAGCATATAGTCCATTTATAAAACTGTAATTTTGATCCAAATAACACCATAGTTGGCTTCTCAAGTACCTAAGAAATTCTCCATCTAAAATGTCACTCGACTTTTTTGTGATTATGAGTCAAAGAAAGCATTCTTGAGTTTCAAATTGACTTCTGTGGTAACTTGAAACCATCTTCTAATTTATTCCACTTACCTTTTATTGTTTCTCCAAATATATTCTTTGAAAATCAGATTTTAAGGGTGTTAATCAGGGTAATTCTGTGCCATTTTATCAAAAATCTTGTTGCTATCTAGAAACGAGCAATTGTGATCTTGTTGTTACCTAGGAACGAGCAACTGTGATGTCACGTCACACTCATGTTAATTCTGGAATCACATGGCAGCCATTTTGGAAATTTCAAAAAAGTTCCCAATTAAAAAGGCTAAATGCTATTTACAAATTGGAAACTATGGCAGAATCAACAAAGGGTTTGTGAAATAATTAGGATATGGTTTCAAAATTATGCACATGACAATATATGACTACTAAATGCAGGCAGGGACTTTTAATTGCCAAAAGGTCGAGTGACATTTTAGATGGAGAATTTTTTAGTATGCCGTTATTTGGTCTCAAAATAAAAAGGAAGAGTGCAATTTTCATTTTAATTACGAAAATAGGGATGTATGTCACGAATAGTTCCAACGTTGGCCTTTTTACTACGCGTGTCACGGCCTTCATCTCAGAACTGAGCAAATGTTTAGCAAACGCAAGTTCCAATAAATGGACACTGGTATCTCGAACAGAAAGCTGACTCCCTTAAATTTAATGTAGATTAATCGAACCCCTATATGAATAGGTACATTTTAATATACAACACTATAGGGGGTAAATGTTTCATAGTTGGTCACGAACGCCATAATGCAAAGTATTGTTCAGAATTTTTGAATTTCGTGTTGGATTACTGTACTCACACCTAAAGCGTGTTTTTTTGATAGTTTAATAATATTTCTATGCGTATTGTGTGGAATTGTGTTGACGTTTACTTAAGTTAAGTGCATTATGTTTGATAAATCAAAATCAGTATCTGAAAGTTTGATTTGAGTACTTTTACATTAAGTCCCGATCACGCAAATGGGCCCATAAATGTCCTGCGACATCCCGCAAATTTAGGTGGATGTCCCGCAAAATCCCGCGAATTTAGGGCACTTCGTCTAAAAAAATATGTCCCTCTATGAAGTCTTTGGGGATTACCCTGTTAACTGTCCCGCAATTACCGTGTTTGTCCCTCGAATGGTCCCGCGAAATCCCGCGAATTTGATCTTAATTTAACCTATTAGCGCAATTACGCAAATCCCTTAAATGTCCCGCGAAATCCCGCGAATTTAGGAGGATGTCCTGCGAAATCCCGCGAATCTTTGGCACTGGGTCTAAAAAATCTGTCCCGCGAGAAAATCTTTGGGGGTTGACAGTACTGAACTTGGAGCCAGTTTGCAAATCAGCTCGCCCCATATGACAAATGCTATGTAGATACAATCTGGTAACTGGGAATCACGAAATACTATCTCACGATTATTTGTATGTGCATTATGCATGTTATTCTCGTATAATTTGCATGAAAATGAGAAAAAAAATGAAAAATACATAAAATTGTAATATGTTTAAAGATTTTTTGCAAAAAGTCATTTCAAGCCAAAACTATGAGAGAAAAATCAATTCTAAGTAAAAATATCGATGAATTAGATCATGTTCACCAAATCAGAACATATTATGCATTGCATTTCCGTTTAATAAAAACGCACCGCTCATTTTACAAAACTGGCTCCAACTTGGAGCCAGTTTACAAATCAGCTCGCTCCATTTTACACAAGCTATGTAGGGACAATCTAGCAACTGGGAATCACGGGATACTGTCTCACGATCATTTCTATGTGCATTATGCATCTTATTCTCGTATAATTTGCATGAAAATGAGAAAAAACTGAAAAATACGTAAAATTGTAACTTAGGGCACTTTCTGGCGAAATCTCAAACAAATGATGCATCAATGTTAATTTAAACAGTGTGTTGAAAGAAACAAAATATTAGACAAATGGTATATGCATAGAAAAAGCATTGCATGGGTAACACTCATCTAACATCGCCCTTTTAAGACCTGATGTTAAACATATTTTTTATGTAGTATGAAAAATATCAAGGCAATCGATGCTCTGTATGTGCTGTAATCCGGTTTTGTATCACCACAAACAAAACAAAACTTTGTTTTTTGACAAAAAATCATTTAAGCTGTTTTTGAGAAATAATAAGCAATATTTTCAGTATTCATCGCATGATTATGATAACTAGTTGTGATGACTTTGAAATAGCGCACATCAAATGTACCTGGTATCAACACACATAGCACAGGCTTCAGTAAAACATCTGCTTTTGAAAATATCAATTATCGTAAAGGAGTGATATCGATATGGAGAACTGAATTCAACAATGTTTTTCTCTTACACCAATGAAAACATTCTGTAAAAACACGGTCCTTTATGTAATGTTGGTCTTGGTAACTTCTCAAACTACTACTGTATATATCTTTGTATCTTCAGAGTGGTGTCTTTGTTACAAATTAAATGCATCTTTTATACTTTTAAGTTTCAGAGATGCTGTGATTTAAGTTCTTTTTGCACTGCAGTGATACATGTGTAGATATAATTGGAACTCTCTCCGATCCAAACCAAACTCCTTCGGCCCTGGCCTGGTTTGGTGGTCTGGGGGTACAGTTGATAAAGAAAACACAAAATGGATAAAGATTAGCACATACAGTATATTTTGGTATTTAAACAACAAATATAACAGTAAAAAACAAAATGTCTCTATAATCTCAGCCAAATGTCACTATTCTCAAATAATAATAAATGTCTTCAAATTGTCCAATTTGCCCAATTTGGGCAGTGACTTTCTTCCCCTCTATAACTCATTGTGATAACGTGACTCCTGTACCAGCTATCTACTCCTCTACTCCTTTAGCTTTCTCAGCTCTCCGCTCTGGCTGCCCTTTCTCCTTCTCAAACTTTCTCAGCTCCGGCTATATCCTTCTCTATATCTCTGGCTCCCTCAGCTCTGGCTATAATTTCTTACTCTACAAGCTCTCTAAGCCTCAGCTATCGTCTCCTAGCTATTTTGGCTCATGGTTTATTCTACTTATCCAGCTCTCTTAGCTCCGGCTAACTTCTCCCAACTCCTCAAGCTCTCCCAGCTCTCCACTCCATTCTGCTGGCTGTCTTCTTTTCTCCTTCTTCTTCAAACCAGCTCCAGCGCTTGTCTTCTACTCCACTTCTCTTGGTCCAAATCAAACATCGCGTATTTTTTGAGACCTTGATTTTACTAACTTTAAGCATAGCATTGGGAAGCAGCATCATTGCCGTCTTATTTGTCATTTTACAATATGAATTGGTTTAAAATCAAACCTTATATTTAAATATGACAAAGCAATTTACAGACTGATCCAAGATCAAAGTATATTCGATCAGTTATAGTATATCAGAAACATTTCTAACCCTAATGGATGATACCCCCACGCCCAACGCACTTGTTAAAACCCCAATTTCTGTTTCACAAGCTACAATCAAGAGAAGTGTTTACGCAATGCAGATAGAAAGTGGACCTGAATGAACTTTAAAAATTGTTACATGTAATTAATCCAGTTGAAGTGTGGGAACCACTTTCCTACTTCTAAGTCTAGCACTGTCCCACTCTGTCCACTTGACAAAGGCCACTCGTCCAAACTGTGGCCAGTTTGATGGATTTCCCAATAAATCACGATAAAGTTGGGTAATTGTGATATGTAAATATAAACGGATCATCCGTTCAAAGTGAGGCTGTGGCCAGACTGTCACGAATGATGTAAGGGCAGATCATGGGGCAATGCAGTCAAATGTTGAAATAAGGCCTATATATTATTAGACCATACCTACATCGTGAGTTTAGAACAATATTGGCGCTGCTGCATATATCCAAGATGGGTGTTTATACAATTGAAGACCATCAAATGGATCAGTATTACATTGGAAAGACACCACAAATCCAATGGAATTCCGCTAAAATACCTAAGCATGCTAGTTTCGAAATGGATGCTCCAAATGCTGGGAAGACTATCGACAAAAAAACGATTGATGTTGGACATAAACGAAGGCTTTTGAAAAATTTCTTTCTTGTAGTTGTTGCAGCTGCCCTTGTCATTATTCCCAATAATTCACTAATGGGACTACAAAGCAGTCTCAACAGTGAGGGTGGACTTGGAGTGGCAACCGTCAGTTGTCAATGGGCCTCAAACGCCATCTGTAGTCTACTCATAGCGCCGTCTATCGTCAATATACTCGGTCAAAAAAGGGCACTCTTCGGAGCCTGGAGTCTTTTCTGTCTATTCATTGTAGCCAATGCTTTTCCCAGTTGGTATACTTTAATGCCTGCTAGTTTTCTAATGGGATTGGGGTTCAGTATCCATATGGTTGGTCTTCCCACTTTTGTCACTCCACTAGCTAAAGAGTACGCTGAAGTTGTAGGAGATCAAAACCCACAAGCAATGGCGGATTCCTTCAATGGTATATCTTTTGCTATAATCAACAGTGGCAGAATCTGGGGAGAGATGATATCGTCTGCAATACTCCTGGTGGAAGATAATGACCAAATGAATACTTCAGAAAACCAAACTGTGATCTCAAGAAGAACATGTGGCGCAGACTTTTGTCCCAATTCAAATGAGAATGTAACAAAGGCAGACAGACCATCAGATGAAAATATATACATTCTCATGGGAACTTTTTTCGGTATGGTCATGATTGCTTTGATATTGTTAATGTGTATGGACGAAACCAGAAATAGAACCAATATTACAGCGAAGGATGTTAAGGATAGGGTTGTCAAAGTGCTTCGGCTACAAACATCTCCCAAAATGATACCTCTCATACTGATATTCTTCTATGCAGGATTTCGAAACTCTCTAATGTGGGGCGACTTCAACCAAGTAAGAACCCAGAAGTTGCTTTCATTCATGTTTCTCTAATTAATTTGCATTTAGTAATATTTGTATCAGTCATATACAATAGTCAATATGATGACGTATCGGAATTGATCACATTTCTCTTAATCCATCCCAATTACACTGGTACTCACCTAGTTACGCTGACGATACGTCAGCGTAACAAGATGGAAGAATTTCCGGACTTCGTTTTCGGTAAGATATTTTTATTTCTCGATTCTACACAACTTATAAGTCAAGTTGTGGACAATATTTTGGCTCAAAGTTAAGGAAGATAGTCTGCTTTGAGAATATACAGCCGGTTCTATGTTTGGTATATTATCTTACCGAAACCGAAGCCCGGAAGTTCTACCATCTTGTTACGCCGACGTATCGTCAGCGTAACTAGGTGAGTACCAGTGAATTACGCGAATGTCAAATATTGTGAACGGCATTAAAACTCTATATTTTTGTAAGTAATGCTTAGATTGAGTATACACTCCCCTCCCAAAGTTTGGCAATTTGAACAATTTATTTTAAGGCATATGTTAGTTGCGAGCTTGGAATTGGCTACGTTGGGCTAACAATGGTCTGCATGGGGATCACAAATACGATATCAGCTTACCTTTTCGGGGTACTTCAGCGGTGGGTTCACCGATCTGTTTTTGTGGCCTTGGCATCCATATTCAATCTGGCTGCTATGGTAACGATGTTGCTTTGGACACCATCAACTGATGAATTATGGCTGTTCTTTACACTTCCTGCGATCTATGGTGTAGCTTTGGCTGTATGGCAGACCCAGCAAGTCTGTAAGTTGAATAAAGGAAACGAAGTTGTTGCTTTGCTGGTATCTAAATTATACGATGAAATGACAGGAAGCCTATCTTGGAGTTTTATATCACTGTTTCCAACTTTTGTTTCGAACAATCTATTTCAGAATTCACAAAATGGCCTCTTTTATAATATAATTCAAATCTGGCTCAATGTGCGCAAATTAAACGTTGTTCTATATTATAACCGTTTAATTTTAAATCCGCTAGGGTAAATCATGTTTAAAGTGGAATTTGCTTAGGGAAGTGTTCGGATTGAGAGATCTTCATTTGAACTCCCACATTTTCTTCAATTACTGTCACTCCTTATTCTTAACAAAGCCCTGTTATACTACAGAATATTTTTTATTTGTAGCTCTAATCGGAACTATCTTCCCAGACAACTTAGATATTGGCTTCGTCAGTAGAAATATTTGGAACGCAATTGGAATGTCTTCAGCTTTCGCCATCAACGGGTTCCTCTGCGTCAAAACTAAGGCTTACATCACAATAGGAGTGCTTTGTGCATCTGCCATCAGCTATATCATCCTTGAACTATTGATGACTTTCAAATGGAAGATTGAAGCTAAAAAATAAGGATATTCTTTATTATGTGTGATGGTTTTCAGAGGGTTATATTAAAAAAGCGTACACCCCCTCTAAAGGTACTAGTATGCTGTACATGCGTTATTTTGATATCATGTTTCTTATTGTCTATATTCGGGAAATGATTTATTGTAATACATGAACGTAAATCTTTGTATAACATGGCACTTGTTGGCACAACATTAATGTGCTACTGATCACTGAATTCCCGGGAGTCACATCCGACCCATTGTCACGCGGTACCAACTTCGACCGTTAATTTGAATTTTTGACCTACCAGATGCTTGAAAATCAAGAATTGCGAGTCTAATACTGCACCGCTTTCCTTCAAACTTATACCATTAAAAGCGAAACAAAATTGCCTTTCTGTCGGTGCATTACTTTATTGTAAAGAATCCCTCGTTCTAGCAGCGTTTTGGTCCCCAGCTGTTAAAAGGCCTTCTTACAGCTGGGGACCAAAATGCCGCTGGAAGTAGGGACTCTGTTTAAGAGAGTAATGTACCATAAGAAAGGGATTTTTGTTATGCTTTGAATGGAACAACTTTGAAGAAAAACGATGCAGTATGAGACTCGTAATCCTTGATTTTCAAACATCCGGTAGGTCAAAATTCAAATTAACGGTCGAAGTTAGGACCGCGTGATTGTAATTAAGGAAATACATTGAGATCCAAACATCAACAGGCTTTAAGGTGCATCGGCATGTTCAGAAATTTTCATTGGTTCCTAATTGAAGTTCAATGTTATTTTCAGGTACACATAATTCATTCCACAAGTGGGTAATATTTTTCAGTTTTGCACAAAGAGTGCATAAATGTATCTGGATTATCAGTTGAGAGTTATAATAAACATTCTCGTTACACAAAAAAGAAAATTCAATGACTCTCATTTCATACTTTTAAAAATTAGAGCACTGAATATTCATGCATTAATAATGAAAATTATTAATCCTTAACTAATAATTGAGGTACCCATGTATTGAATGAGTTATGTGTCCCTGAAAATAACATGGGACTTTAATTAGGAACCCATTGAAATTTCTGAACATGCGGAAATACCTTAACACGATGCCCAATGGAGATTTCCTGTTGCCAAGGGGTGTACCTTTTGAATGATAGAATGCGTGTTCCTGTTGGTGGAAATGTACAATGCGGTATGGAGTATGTTTGAGCCAAGAAAAAACACAGCCTAATTACTCAGATGCGAGTAGGTAGTTACCAGTTTCCCCACCAGGTGGCTGATTCGGGGGAAATAACATGGCAGGGTATCACAAAATTCCCTTAAACTTGAATATTCATCAGTTTTAGTGGTTCACTTTTCATATTACCCTTATGTATGTGATAGTTATACAAATTAAAATATGTCCAGTAAAAGAAAATATTATCTGCCCGACAAAAGAAAAGATATTTCACTTTTTTGTGGTTTTACAACATGGGGTCTATGGGGAATCTCCCCGACCTAGAAGTCACATTTTCAAAGAAAATTAAATTTTCAAAGTTGATAAACTCTTTTCAAAACCACATTTCTAGATATGATTTTACATAAAGATTCCAAATATGACATCAGTTTGACTAAATTGTGAATTTTTAATGACGTAAATCAAGATTATTTCTACTCGCATCTAGGATATTCCAATGTATAATCGAATGGAAATCCCTGAGAAATACGTTGGTGGAAGCTCTTCCATTTTGTATAATTTCTTATGAATTACTTTATCATTATGATCATGGACAAGAAATGGAAATCGTTTCTGATATCATTTATAGATGGAAATGAATAGCTCCTAATGCCTAGATCACTTACAAGCTACATTGTTCCATCACCAAGTGTAATTTCTTATTCAAATAAATAACTTTTGATAAACAAGGATATATTCAATTACTATTATAGTAATTAGAATCGAATAGCGGTTTTTGTTTCATTGATAACTGATTTAAATTCGGAATCTAGCCAGTATTTGCCAAGTGGGTTCCGTTTTTTAATGATTCCAGGGGTGTCTTTGACAATAATGGTCCATAATAACTTGAACGGTGCTCGAAATATGAAAAACTGCATGATTTTGAAAGAATCTTCGGCCAGTGGGTTTTGGCCCTGACCACCCCCCCCCCCTCCTACCTATTCAGGACAACAGAAGCTGGTTTCAGTTTGGATTTAAGATATGACAGCCGGCAATTTCAACATACTTGCAATTTCTAGTTGCATATAGACATTAGATCAAAAATAGTTAGAGGCTTAAGGCATTGATCACGACTAAGACTATAATGCTTCCAGGAAACTTCAAGAAGGGTTGGTAATCGGACGAGATCAAAAGGATTCAGAATACGCAATTGCAAGATTAAAACCTGATAGCATAAACCTGAATGAAATCGATATTGCTAAAGTCAAAATCTGACCGACCTAAGCTGAACTAAGGTTGAGTTGTTTCAGAAATAGTATTTTTAGAATAAGAATTTCTCCTCTGTATACAAAAGAGAAAGCAAATATACAAGTAAGTTGAAATCATGCATGAGTTTCTTTAATTAAGTTCCCCTACATTTTCATATTAGGTCGAGACAATTGACCTAGTTTTTCTTATTCATTCTAGCCCAATTTCAGACCTAATTTCTATGCAGAAAAACAGCACTAGTTCAAGAATTCAATTTTTGATAAATGTGAGGCATAGAATAAATATATCGTAGATGTTAATCGACTGGAATGTTGTCCATTTGATTGCACCATTGTCAGAACGCTGATATTAGATTCTAAAATATGGCTTTATTGACGCCCGTCCTTTTAGGGCCGACGCCGATCGAGATAAATGAATTATAGAGTAGAGTACACGAGCTGTTATAAAACTTAACAGGGTGCAATAAACTACCAGGCCAAGTAATCAACACAGCTAGAGTGAAAGGATATCAACATACATCTCTAAGGTAAGTGCTATTGCAATGTTTTGCTTATATTTATTTGCATGAATTTCGAACCACTTGACGGATGCACTTTACATGGGTCCCAACGTATGATTTTGAAATTAAAAGTGTCTGCCGCAAAATGTACGTAGACACGGGTAACTAGAGTATCCGCGTATATTGAGTATGACCGGTTCTTAGGCTACGAATATGACCTGTTTTGGAAAGTCATGAGAGGCACAGCTGCTTAAAAATGGAAAATAAAGGTTAACTTCTATATTATCCTTTTTGAAATTGTGTTTGTTGAATATAGTTTATGCTGTATTTAATAGTAATGTAACAAAAAAATGTTAAACATGAGCTATTTTAGCAATGTAACTGTTCATAATGGAATATCAATCAGAAAGTACAGATTTCTCGCCTTAGAGCCAAATCATTAATATCACAGTTGAAAAAAACAAATCCCAAACCTTTTTATGGCTAACCTAAACAAGATCTCCAAATCTCAGTTTATATGATCCTCCGTAGAGTGAGCAAGAGAAGGATTTATCTTTTCCCAGAGGATACGCTTGTGAAATGTCATGGAAACGAGTGTAACACGGCCCACTGATTGTTTCACAATCGTATTCTCAAACAATGGGGCACCAGTGACATTCGTATTCTCAAAAATTCAAAGATGTATCATATTTGGACAGAGCAGGCTAAATTATTTAAAATATTCATGACTAATTCGTAGATCTAGCTATATATTATACATAAGATGTGTCATCCTCTTCGGAGTTGCGTTGTGTTACACAAAAACTGATCAAAGATGCTGGAAACTAGGATTTTACGGCTTCAATCTAATATTAATACGTTTTCTCTTGATTAAGGCCCCTTGTGATATGCCTGGCATTATAAGTATACCAAGTATCATTCATTGACCAAGTAGGATAAAAAGAAAACGTTCGAAAGTGTTCATAAAAAGCAAGTACTCACCTCGTCTGTTTTTTGGAACAGAAATACGGTCACACTCGTAAGCTTAGAACCGGTCATACTCAATATACGCGGATACTCTAGTATCCCGTGGTAGAGCTCCATGAATCAGATTGTAATTTGCAATATTTTCGTCTCGTAACTTTCCATGAATGTTTTAAAACATTTGCAGGATTGTGTGCATACAGGGTGGGCGAAATAACTATTATAACTTTGACTTAACGCTATTTGAATGAGAAAGGTTCACAGGCAAAAAAATGTCAATGGAAACTTATTGTGGCAATCTTGACGTTACAACTTTACGTAGTAATTATATCACCGCCATAAGTGGTGACGTATTGTTACAGTCCCCGACCTTTTTCGGGGACGTTATTCGGCGATCAGCGGCCGTAACAAATGGCAGGTAGTACATTTGGTATGTCAATGCACGAGATAAAGACTTAGACTTAAAGGGTTTATCAGAGAGACACATCTAAATGTGTAATGAGTCAGATATTCTAGTTTTGACCAGGGATACTTCCAAGGTTTTTATCTGAACTGAAGTCTAAGAATACGTTATAATAAAATGTTTGATGTCCCCTGGTGTACTGAGCCATAAAAAAACATTGAAAACAAATTATGGGCGAATGATACTATAATTTGAGGGATGTCTCATATCATTTTAAAATTGTTGCTTCAAATATTATCCTGACAACTGTATACTTGGATTCATATCCTAGTGTCTATAAACCATTTTTATCCAGAACCATCATGATGACTTATTTATTCCATTTAGAAGAGAACAATTGCAGAGGAAACTTCTGCATCTCTATCAAGAATATTTTTAAAATCTATGCATGATCTAAAAATGGTTTTGGACCTCACTACGCATTATATAATTTTTTGCCACAAGAAATCAAAGTAGAAGAGACTATGACTGCAGTGTACATGTGTATTTATGTAGTTTGTGGTTCAATTGTCAATTTTTCACAATTTCATCAATTTAAAATTCGCTGACTTCTTGTTTTCCTTGATCTTTTCAGAATTCTAATATTTCCTGACCAATTCGGTCATTTTTAGGAGATTTTGAAATTATCTGACTTTTTGACCGAAATGATTACTGGTTGGTGGTTGGTGTTCGGCGGTCGGTGTCTGTAACAAATGGCAGATGGTGACATTTTGCATGTAAATGCCTTGTTCAAATATACTGGAGGAATTTTCCTTATATGTTTCGATCCTTGTCATTCTTATCTGTACTACTTTACTATCTTATGGAATGCACAAATCGCAAAAACCATGCCTAAT